CCCAGCGCCGCGCGCCCGGGGCATGGAAATGCCCCCGCAGGCGCCATGGCGCCCGCGGGCACCGTGTTGGGGACCACGGATCTAATGTAAGATTGTCCGTGTTCTTGCGCAATACGATGATGCTCCCGCTCAGGGATAAGCCCTCTTGCACAAATGCTTTTGTGTAAGAGGGCCAGTGTAGACGGGGAGGACTGTTTTGCACAAAAAAGCCCCGATGGCAAAAATGGCGATCGGGGCTTTCTTGCGCAAAACCACGTCTAGATTGGCATGAATGCTTTTCTGCAAAAAGTACTTTTGTGCAAAAGCATCCGTGCCAATCTACATTCTCTTTTCCGCAAATGCTTTTAACGGAAAAACTTTTCCGTTAAAAGCATTTGCAGCAAATCATGCCAGTCTAGACACAGCCCTTGAGTAAGTGCTCCCCTTTTTCCCTTTCCCATCATCCTCAGTTCACTTTTTCATGAGGCTTGTACATGGTCACAGAGCAGCAAGGGGCTGATGTCTTTCATAGACCAGTTCCACACTGGCATTTCCTGCCCAAGAATAATGAGCCAGGAGAGAAATAGACAGAATAGTGGGGGCTTCTGCCCCAGTTCAGTAGGGGGCTAGTGATCAGCTTGTTCATTTCTATTCAGTGTGATTGTTTTCTCTGTATATTGAGCTATACAGATAAATGGAATCACCTAGTGGCCCTTTGATATTGCTCTGCATTCCCGCCTCACATTTGTTTCTATGAAACATTGATAACATGCTTTAATAATGCATTTCCCCTCTCCTCCCAACAGTTGCAACCTCGTCCACAGAGACACTGGTCCCTACAGTTGCCGCTGAAGTTTCTCAGGGCATAGACCAGGTATTTGAACCAGCTGATGCTTTACCAGCCCGGAGCGAGGCAGCTGCTGTACAGCCCGTCATTGGGATCAGTCAGAGAGTCCGGCTGAACTCCAAAGAAAAGAAGGACTTAGGAACATTAGGTACAACCTCCAGGAACACCCCAGATTCCTCAATGGGACTCTTAACAAGATGTCTCTTTTCTGAACCATAAATGCCACTGCTCCATATGGGAGCTCACGTACAACCCTGTTCCTAATTTTGTTGCATCTGCTCCTTCTCCACAGGCTATGTGATGGCCTTTAGCATGGTGGTGATAATCATTGCCATTGGAGTTGGCATTGTTGTAGGCTACATCTACAAAAGGTCAGTAGTCTCTGGCTGGCAGGGTTGTATGGGGGAATCAAGACTGTGGCTGTGAGAGTCAGGAAATTCTGAACTACTACTGAGGACATCCAAGTTCCAGTGCACAGGGTAGTGAAAGGTCCCATACACTGGTGATGCTGCTGCTGAGAGTTCTGGGCTTGTGACACCCTTGATCACACTTGTTTAAATGCAGAGGGTTTAGGTTCGTTGGTGCCCTCCCTCCATTCCTGGACCTGCTCACCGGCATGCAGCAGAGTATAGTTTTATACACCTTGACTGATGGACTTTTCACCACTTGCCCTGTGAAATTTTTCAGAAACAAGAATAGGCTCTGGCATTTCATCCCATTGCGAGTCAGAGACGCTGGGCAGGGCTATAGCTATGTGTACATGTTGGCCAGTCTGCTTGTGTCTCCCCCCCCCCCAATGGAGCCACATCTGCAAGTCCTAAGCACCTGGCTCCTCTGTTAATTTGTGGGAATTGAGGGGGCTGAATAGGTCATAGGATTAGACCCTGGTAACATGTATTTACAAACAAGTAACCTGCCTTTTGTTCTGTCTTCTCCTTGGGCTGAGTCTAAGCCATCTCCTCCCTCTGAGGTTTATGCCTTCAGCTGCCTCAGTGAAAACAGGGTAGAACCATAATTCCCCCCCCCAAACTTTGAACTGCACAATGCAGTTAGCCTGATGACCCAAAAATGGGGGTTGTGTCTAACAGCTGTGCGCTAACATCCTTAACCAGTAAGCCTAAGCTTATCAGTTAATCTAAACAACTACATGCACATCTTTCCCCCTTGCCACATGCCTCCCTGCCCCCAGCCTCTCTCAGACCGCATTGCAGGGGGCAGTCCAAGCTGGGGGGAGTGTGAGAGAGGAGGAGAGCCAGCTTAAAAGCCAGCTCTTCACAAGCACCGGCTTCATGATGCTACTCCTCCCCACACTGCTGCCTCTGTATCAGAGGCAGGAGTGCAGTGGGGAGGGGCAGGCAGTTCCCCAGGAGCTGGTGCTCCTGGGGAGCCTGCTTAAAAA